GTAATTGTCTGAACGCAACTCTGTTTCGGACTGCCTCTGACTCGACTCTTGACTCGACTTGAACTACTGACTCGACTTGAACTACTGCCTTCTTGCCACCTCCTGAGGCGCAGTATTTATTAAGTATTAAGTATTATTATGGGTAAGATCCCAGAACACATTTATTATGAACTTATGAATTTTTAATATTCGGAGAAAAGATGTCCACCCGCATATTCAATAAAGGATTATTCAGAAAAGAATTGTTGGATGGTACATCAAAAGTAACTGAAATGTATTTCTCAAGGGATTGTCTTTGAAAGGGAAAGTGACAGACGAGGCTGATATTCGGACTCTCTTGTGGGGCTCTCCCCTTTTTACATAAGATGGACTCGTCCAAATTATACTTATACTGACAGAGAGAATGCCTGCTGTTGAGAAACGTGGAGATACGTTGAGACAGGTTGAGAGATACGGAGACAGACACAGGATGTTCTCAGAGAGTTATACAAGAGTCCAGGGAGAGAAATGATTACGGCTTTACTTACAGAGACTTGTACATATACTTTCTACTAACCCGCATTCCTGGACTACAATCTTCACTTCAAGTCTGTTTTCTTACGTTTAATAGACTTATTTTTCTATCTCAATTACTGGCGTTGTTTATTTATTTGTGCAGGATTCCATTCACGGAATCCACAACAGACTTTCACAGATTCCCTTTTCCACGCCTACAAACATTACGTTAAACGCCGCACATGTTAACACCAGCACCCATTTTTAATGGCTGATAAGACTCGGCCTTATTTCGACAGGGAATATTAAGAAAAGAATTGTTTGATGGTATACCGAATGTAACAAGAACTTCATCAACGGCCACGATTCAGTCCAGTTAAAAAAAATTCCTTCATTGAATTTATTACAAATTTGTGAAATTTTAATATGTATTCCCACGTCATCCATGGTGAATATTGGACGCAGTTACTTTCATGAATTTAAAAATAATTATGAACTTGAAATATTTAGGAAATCGCTATTAGTCTGAAGAAGTTCCTTCTTAAAGCGAAACGTGGCTCAAAGAGATTTTTAAGTTAGCCTCACAGACACACATATATATTAGAGCAGGTTGATCTTTCACTTCTTGTCGAAAAATCCACATTGCACTTAGTATGAAATTGCGGTTTAATGTGTTAAGTACTGAAACCGGCAATTAGTTTCATAGCTTTTACCAATCTTTGAGCATTCAGTTTTAAATATAATCTGGGAAAAATGTAAAGAAATAAAGATTTTCTCAGGATTTTGCTTGCTTAGAAATTGACTTCAAAATTTGACTATTTCAAGAAGAAATCTAAATAAAGTTGGTATATTTTGTATTCAAAGTAAATGGAAAATAGATTCAGACGAAAATTCTTGTTGTGAATAACCACGAGTAAAATATGCGATTTTATACTGTATTCGAGAAGTTAAAAAAATTGCAAAAAGATTTCAGAAAGGCTACTCAATGAATAAGATGTGTTAGATCATAATTATTAAAAAAAAAATATATAACACCGTAATTCTGCTGGGAACGAATTAAAAGAAAAAAATGTTTTAAATTTCCATTGTTCATTGGCTGAAACCTTCATCTTTCAATTCCCAAAACAACACCAAACAACTGTTTCGAAAAAAAGAAGTCAAATGAAGGATGGAGGCTTGAGCCAACACATAGTCTGGAAAATTATATGTTCTGCACGAACTGCTAATAGTCTTAGAGATAGGTGTTATTCATGTTTAGAAGAAAAAAATTTCGATAATAAAATACAATAAGCTAAACCAACTATTGAAACAGAGGAATGAATTAGTGTTAAAATATCGACATAAAAACAAATTAAAATTTCCATAATATAGTTTTACTTTAATTAGCTACTATATTTCCTTAAAATAGTTTTACTTGAATTAGCTACCCAAAATCACTCTCCTCTTGCTCTACAAATGTAAACGAAAAACCCAAACTAATTCTAATTTCTATATTGAATTCCCTCTCTATAAACATTTTCATAAACTATATTAATTACAATTAATAAATTTTCCCCTACTTGAATATCTCTCTAACTCTCTTTCCGTTAATTTCTTACATCTTTTTATCTATATATCTAAAATTTATTTTTGGATTCATTTTTTATTTGTGCTTTAATTTTAAATTAAAAATTCATTTTTTTTCCATATAACCCCACATCGGTGGCATAAGGTTAATATTCTTTTTTTAAAAATAAGAAATCTTCCCTATAGGACACTCCCTCCCCTGCCCCATGTCTCGCGCCTTTTGCCTGGCTGAACCATTGAAATATATAAACTCTATATTAGATGTTTTCGGCAAGTTGGATTTAGGTTGATTTGTTAGCTTTCACAGTAAAATTCTACTTCCTGCCTCATCTAAATTTATAGACGTGAACTTATTCCACACTGGAGTTGATAAGACAGACGACCAATATCATCATCTGACGAAATACACTATTCCCCATATGAGGTAACTTGGGATTTATTTGTTTATTAATCATATTGTTCTGTATTAATAAATACATTGAGCTCTTTTTGTGAATCAGTTTTAATATCTTATATAACTAGGATCCACTTGGATTACAAACCAACGGATTTTTTACCTTTAAAATATATATATATATATATATATATATATATAAACATATATTGTTAAATATAATAGACAATGAATGTCTATTACGCATGATCATGAGTCGTTCTAATGTTCGTATATTTGTTTTAATTTCGGATGAAAATAAAGACAAATATTTTCCATAATTTGGATATATTTTATTAAGTTGGCCATTGATCTAAGGTTTTGGCTTACATGAACCATCTTCTGAATGGTTATACGGACATTTTAACAAAGATATTCCCTACCGAAGATAATATTTTTTTTATGTTGACATAGAAGAATGCTATGCGACGATAACAGTCGCGATAACAACGCCATTTATATATATATATATATATATATATATATATATATATATATATATATATATATATATATATATATATATATGGTGCGATGGATAAAGTGTATATATTTACCAAAATTGCACAAAAATATCTTGAAAATCTCCTGCATATTTTCTGGACGAATGGTAAATGCTGCCATAATCCTTGATTTCAGTTCATATATATATATATATATATATATATATATATATATATATATAAAATTGTGTGCCTTTTTCTCCTCAGCGAATAAAAGGAATTGTTTTTAAACTGTTCGTCACTTAGAAGAAGTTAATAGCTGCTACTTTCAGAGAAGTCTTGATACTAAATAAGGATGCAAGAAAAAAAAGTCTTTCGATTAAAACGACAGATCATATTATGTTATTTCGAAATTCTTATTTGTCTGTTACTTTGAAGAGAACAAAATGGCGGCGATTTCACGTATGTCAAATTTGTCATCTGGAAATTGAAAGAGAATTTATCGCTAGAAATAGACGAGTTGTAAGTCTTTTTTTTATTTTAACCTCAGAAAAGTTATAAAATTCAATGTTCCTATTTCGGTTGTGATCTTTGATGGAGTATTCTTTTTTTTTGTAATGCAAACTCTTTTAGTAAAATTTTAAGTAGGAATTCTGTTCACATAAAATAAATAAAAGTAAATTTTCTAACAATGTTTGAGACTAAAGCTGGCCCTTTGCGAAAGCATTCTCTTGTCTTTCTATGATACCCCCCATTGATGCATCTTCTATTTAAAACCCTTCAAATTGCCAATAAACATATGCAGTACAAGATATCTCTTCAGCAAATAATAGAAAGGCAATAAATAACAATACATAGCAGGGAATATTGGTTACTATAAAAAAAATGTTCCTGGTAAAGTTTTAAATAAAATACGTAGAAAGAATTCAAGCGAATAGGAATTTAATGAGGAAAATAAAAGTAAAATAAAATAAATAAAAATATAAAAGAAAAGGTCTACACTCAAGACGCAGCAATGAACTCGTCCTGGGTATGACGATAAACTCCATATGGCAGCAAGGCCTCTAATCGTAAGGGTTTGACGAGCGTGTAATCAACTCTTAATTGCTGTTGTTCGTAGGTCGAACTTAACCCGTGGTGGTAGCACCCGTTAGGGTCCCAGCTAACCCTCAAACTGGGATGAACACACTATGAATGTATAAAAATAGATTTTTATATTAAAAAATACCAGCAATACACTTTAGAAGAAAATACCAACAATACGTTTGTGTATCGCCAAAAAAAAACTCTTTATAAAAATACGTTAATGAAACATGATCCACAGATTACTTATAAGGAATACATATTCTATTCATACAAACCTACTCTAAAAGTATTATCCACTGATGTTGATACAGGGGGCCTACACTATTTTTCAGACACTTTATTTTTTCAAGTTTTAGGTAGCACAAGCAGTCTGTACTGTTTTAATGTAATGGCAATAACATTTAAAAACTGTTTCAATACTACAAATGGAAAAGCAGAATTCAAATTAGAAGTATTTTTATTTTTTTTACAAATTTTCACATTTCATAGGCGACAGTATTTTTCGGACATTGCAGAAACAATGCTAATAGTTTATGGCAGCACCCTTTTTTTCAATGACTTCTATCAGTCTATCTTCATAATCTTCGTACATATTGATAATAACGTCTCTTCGTGTTTCTAGCAATCTATTTATAGCATCTTGTATGCGCTGCCACAGTTCAGCCTCTCTGGTTATTTCTGGCCCGTCGTAAACAAGCTCTGCAAGCATTTCCCATATGTTTTCAATTAAATTTAACTCTGGACTTCTTGCAGGCCATTCCAGAGTAGTTATATTTGCTTCACACATCCAATTTTTCACTGATTTGGACACATGGATGCTGCAGTTATCTTGCTGCAAAATAAAATTATTTGCCATTTCTTTTTCTATGAGTGGTAGGGCTCTCTTTTCCAAAAGTTCTCTGTAGCTCAAGCTATTTTGACGTCCTTTTAACCACTCGAGCCACAAGTTTCCATTCGGAAATACCATACCCCAAACC